CAATTAACAGACCCACACTGGTAACTGCAACCTAAGGGCTGGTCTAAGCTATGCCAGAGGCCACTTTGGCCCCCACAGCTCCAGGATTAAGGGAAGTGGAAAGGGGTATCAGAGCTACTATCTCCCCCTACCTCCGTTAGAAATGTGAGTTTGGCACCACTGACGATTTGCCTCAGAGAGCTTTTTGTTCCTAGGCTGCCAATTATGACCCCATCTCAACAGTGACTAAGAGTCTGATCTTTTTCTGGGCAAGTTGTGTTAAGTATTTGTCTAGTTTTCTAATCGCAATAAGAATCGGCAATCCCTCTCTCACACCTTCTGCAGTGGGGTCTTAAAGTGCTATGGCAGTAGCAGATCAATGTTCATTGGGCTGTGATACCTTCATGGGCTGAGACCCTGCCCAATGTTTATACGGATAAGGGTGGCTGCATTCATTTTTTAGGAGGGAAAGTTTAGTGAAGAAAGATATGAAGGGCCTGATTCTGTTCTTACTTACACAGGTGTAGAAACAGGAGTCATTCTACTGAAGCCAATGGAGTCACACTGCTGTAAAATCAGTGTAAGAAATAACAGCTTTAAACACCTAATTCTGTTATCATATCCCATGTGAACTGATCTAGTAGTCTCAGCCCAGCGCCCACTGGACAGTTGTCCACATCACAGGGCCAGCACCACTGGCACCTTTGTTACTCTCACCAGTGGCAGAAAGGTTGGGCCAGTGGTTACAGCATTAACCTATGACTTGTGAGATATGGGCTCAATTCTCTGTTCCTCCACAGACTTTTGCCTGTGATCTAAACGAAGTCATTTAGCTTCTTACAGTCATAGGGATAATGGCACTATCCTATCTCATAAGCAGGTGGATTAGTATATTAAAGATTGTGAGGTACAGATACTATGGTTATGGAAGCCATGTAAGTATAAGTTATCAATTTCATGAAGGACTAAATGGGCAATGGAGATTAAACAAGTATTAAAGGCCCTTTTCAGGTTAAGGTTTAAGCATGTTGGTGGGGCAGCTCTCTGTTTACCTTCAGATTAGTACAACAGAGAACCTCAATCTGGCATCTACTGACTCCTTCATAGAGCAGTGGGTGCCGTGTGGGGTTTTCTGCTTGGTGTCCCCATCCGGTGCCCTGGTTCTGACCCTCACTCCCATCTCTGTTTTTTCCCCTTCCATTTGCTGTCCCAAGAAATTAGTTGTATCTGCTTCTGTGGTCCCTCCCTCAGGTGAGGGGGCAGACCTTTAATTTTAGATAGGCTCTGCCCACCTTTCCAGAACATCAATAGGCAAGCACTCTTTACCAGCAGTAATTTCACCCTACCTCCCCTCAAAAATGATTATAGTTATTTAAGAAAAGAAAATAATCCAGAAAAAAAGAAGGGGGAGCTAGACCCTTCAGATATGTTAAATGTTCCATGTTGCAGAGAAATTCTTCATGGATACGAGACGTTTAGTTTGTTTAGAGAGCTGAGTCTTACCGGTTAGAAAATAATCAAAACAGCAGCCTTAGCTTGAGCTATCATTCCTAAAAGAGTTGTCTTGAAGGACATTGCTGGTGTCCATCCTAAAAATGAACAGGAGTACTTGTGGCACCTTAGAGACTAACAAATTTATTAGAGCATAAGCTTTCGTGGACTACAGCCCACTTCTTCGGATGCATATAGAATGGAACATATATTGAGGAGATATATATATAAAATGGAGCTAGAGAGCTACGCCCAAACTGGAATCTGTCATTTGAACCCTGTTGAACATCGGTGGCTTCAATCAAATGGAATCCACGTCCCAACCACCACTGACTTGGGTTTTCCAAAGTCAAAAATCCAGCTGCTGAGACTTTATAAGACAAATAACAAAGCATGGCCTCTTCTGCCTATCTCTGCTCAAAGATCAGAGATACAGTAGACCAGGTAAACACCATATACGGAACTAGTAGTGACTGAAAGCATTTCCAGGTTTATAAGAAAGGTAACAGGGTTCTACTTGTGACCTAGTTTGGTCCTGCAGCAACCCTGCCTCAGTTCCCCCTCAGGTTCCTTGAAAACTCCACTAGAGGCTCTCTTATTACCAAGACCACCACTGCCGGGGGCTAGTTTGTTATCATAACTAGTTCAAAGCAATCCACAAAGTCCCAAAATGAACTCCAACACAACACAGGAGTTCATACTCAGCTCTGGCATCTTCAATACATCTTGGGGCTCCACTTCAGTCCCAGTCTGCTCCTGTTGAGTAATATATGTTGGCTAGCATATAAATATAGACCATATTAATATCATGCATTATCTGCACCATAGATATACTATACATTAGTGACCATCAAGCACCAATACCCTTGAGTACAAATCTTGTAAGTGATATAGCCTAAAATGGCCTATACCATAATCCTGTTCACATGTGCCAAGTATTCCATAACTCCTTGCATTTGCTCAAGTAAGGATTTGGCATAAGCAGATAGGAAACGTGCCAAAAATAATAATCAAGAATCATGGGCATAGTTTGTGGGGCACAAGAGGGGCACTGCCCCCCTAAAACTGCAAGCAGGTGCAGAATCCCCTCCCCCCCCCCCACAGCCCCATTGGCCTGACTAGCACTGCTCCCCCAAGTAAGTCAAACTATGCTTATGCGTTCATTCTATGTCTTAATAGAAGATGAGGAAGTAGCTTCATGGACCAGCACCTGGAATGCTAGTATCCAAGACAAAGATAAGGAGGAACAGAACAAGTTAGGGAACTGGAAAAACCTGATAGATTAGATTTTAGTGACATGTAAAGAAATGCATCACTTGTAAAATCATATAAATAATACCAGCTGAAATGTGTAACTTGGGGAGCACACCTTCTGGATAAGGTGAATGTAACATCACTGTACAGGACTGCTCTTCAGAGACTGGTATGATGTAGAACTTTTTTTTCTTGTACCATATTAATACACCTACTGACACTGGTTATCTGGTCTCTTGAGTATATTACCTACTCAAACAACAAACCAACATGTGGTCATGCAATTGACTATACAATTTATCAACACTCTCCATCAAGCAGCATCTCCCAACCCATACTAGCTACTCTTCAATCAGTCCCTCACACTCAGGCCTTCCTACCAGTACCTAGAGTCCTTTCGTCCCCCAGGAGAGGATCCAAAACTTTCCTTGGGCCATTTCCTGTCTGTGTCAGAGAAGCCATCAGTAAACCCACTTTACTACTTTTTACCAAGCAACAACTCCCACCCCTTCTATATCTACATGTTTCCCCAGGCCTGTCTTATCTACAACCAGAAGCCTGATTGGGTCACATGACCTTAATTTTGCCCACTTGGGAAGGAGGGATTGGCTGTGTCACAGGTGAGGCTGAAACTCATATCCCCTTAAAGAGCCAGCTGCTTTGTGACAATAAAGAAGGCACTAGAGGAATTCCGCTCTACCTCCTCCAAATGGCACTTTCATAAGCACCACCAGCCCCTGGGTCCACTGTATTATATATCACAAGAACAAGATAGTACTATTGCACCAGCAAAGCTAACCAGGACAGCTTCAACTTAACTGCCAGAGAAGCTTTTATGACATTGGGAAATCAAGTCTGTGTCCAGGCAGCCAGAGAAGCCTGGAATTCCCCTTCTAAATTTCTGCATATGCATGCATATCCTTTCTGGGAAGAATTCCTTTAGGAAAAATAGTTCTGACACTGAATCAAGCATCTGGGAACAAATAAAACAGCTAAACAGCCCCATAAGGGAGATGAGTAAAATAAAATGTAAAACATCATGTATTTCAATACTGTATTTTTCACTCCATGCATCCGATGAAGTGGGTTTTAGCCCACGAAAGCTTATGCCCACATAAATTTGTTAGTCTCTAAGGCCTCCTCGTTGTTTTTGCTGATACAGACTAACATGGCTACCCCTCTGAAACATGTGAAATTTATGCCTCTGGTAGGTGCCCCCAGGATGGACCTAGAGTTCAGGAAAAGCTGCTGACCATGAATGGACTAGTGTTAGGATTGGGGCTGGTTGGTAGCTCCAGGCTAGAGTCTGGGGTGGCTGGTGGCCCCAACATAAGGTTAGGCTTAGGGGCAGTTGGTGACATCAGGCTAGGGATGGAACCTATGAGTGCTCACAAGTTAGGTTTATGTGTGGGGCTGGTGGGTAGCCCTGGACTACAATTCAGGCTGGATGGTGGCCCCAGGTTAGGGCTAAGGTTGGGGCCAGCTGGTGGCCCCAGGCTATGGCTGGAGACCAATGGTTATCCTAGACTAGGGTTAATGTTGAAAGTAGACCCCTATTCATACCAGCTCCTAAGAATTTGGAAGGGGGGAGAATGGGGCATGAAGGAGAGAGTAGCTTTTCAAGCATTAAGGAAAGTAAAAATAAGAGAGAAACCAGCAGGGAAATCAATCCAAATCCAAAAACTGCCAAGAGTGGGCAGGGCTGGGTTTCAGGACTCCTTAGTAGTGGTGAGTAGCTGCAGAGAGGGACGTTGTGAGCTAGGATTTGCCATCGAGGGGCTGGAGGACTCTGCACAGCATGTGCACAAGGAAAAGGGACAAAAGACTATAGCTTGGGACCAAGTGTGTAGCAAGAGGGTGAAGTGTAGCCGGGGGCGGAGGGCACCACGAGTGTAGCCAAAAGCTTGCGGCGGTATTAGTGAGTATCCAGGGGCTGGATCCTGCAGGGAAGTAAGTGTATGTGTGTGTGTGTAGCCAGGGGCTGGATCCTACAGTGAACAGTAAAGTGTGTGTGTGTAGCTGGATCCTGCAATGGGGAGTGTGTGTGTAGCCAGGGGCTGGATCGTGCAGTGAAGTGGGGAGTGGGGTGTGGCTGGAGAGTGCAGCGGGGACTGTGTGTGTAGCCGGGGGCTGGATCCTGCAGTGAAGTGGGGTGTGTGTGTGTGTAGCTGGATCGTGCAGGCGGGGAGTGTGTGTAGCCGAGGGGCTGGATCGTGCAGTGAAGTGTGTGTGTGTGTGGTGGGGTGGGGGCTGGATCGTGCAGCGGGGAGTGTGTGTGTGTTGGGGGGGTAGCTGGATCGTGCAGCGGGGAGTGTGTGTAGCCAGGGGCTTGATTGTGTAGCGGGAGTGTGTGTGTGTAGCCAGGAGCTGGACCGTGCACACACACAGGCTCAGAAGCTGCCCCGGGAGGAGGGACCCGGCGCTGCATCCCCGGGACAATGCCCGATCTCCTCAGCCTGCTGCTGGCCGCGCTGTGCCTTTTCCTGGCCGGGTGTCTGCTGTGGAGCCAGCGCTGTCCCGCGGCCGGGCCGGGCGGCAGCTGCCGCCGCTACTCGGTGCCGGGGAGCTGCTTCCCGCTGAAGAAATGGGCCATGTGGGGGCTTCTCTCCTTCGCGTTCCGCCGGCGCCGGAGAGAGCGCGGCAGCGCCGCCCACCGGTTGGAGCGGATGGACACAGGAGCCGGCAAGGAGCAGCCCGGCCGTGGGGCGGAGGAGCTGGAGCGGCTGCAGGGACTGGTCTGCGATGCCCATGTGAGTGCGTCCCTTATATCCCCGCCTGCTCGGGCTAGGGTGTCCCCAGGGGGCTGGAGCCCGGCACCTCTCCGGGGACTGGGACTGGGACCAGCGCCTCCTCCCGGCAGATTTGTGGCGATCTTAGGGGCAGATTCTTGGCTGGTGTAACCGTGTAAGGCCCCATAGCTCCATTTACACACCTGGGCTTCCCACTCGAAGCTGGCCGGGTTAGAAATGACCATCCCGCTTTGGGTATAGCCGTTTCATGCAAAAACATGTTGGTCATTACCTGAGTCCTGCTCCTCTTCCGTCTGATTGTTTTACCCTCTTGTCCTGTCTTGTCTTTGTAAGTTCCCCTTGGCCGGGATGCTTCTGTGTGTCTGTGCAGTGGGCATCTGATCTCAGTTGGGGCTCCCCGACTTACAAAACCACAGTGGCAGGAACTTGAATCAGAATAACATTGCAGGGCCAAGAAGCTAGAGGTGAGACAGTGCTGGCAAGCGGGCAAGGCGGAAGATGCAGAATAGCTAAAGATATAGGGCCACATCTTCACCAGCTGTAAATGGGCATCGCTTCATTGAAGTCAAGTTGATTTACACCAGCTGAGGATTTGGCCCACTGTCATTTTTTGAGAAACGCCTACCAATTTGCGACATTTTTTCTAAAGGTTTTGAGGAATCAAGAATTTCCTCTCTTTTTCAAGCTGATTATCATCACATTGGCGTTGTGTGTGGTTTTGATGGACAGGGATGGTGTCCCTAGCTTCTGTTTGCCAGAAGCTGTGAATGGGCGACGGGATGGATCACTTGATCCACCCGTTCTGTTCATTCTCTCTGGGGCACCTGGCGTTGGCCACTGTCGGAAGACAGGACACTGGGCTAGATGGACCTTTGGTCTGACCCAGTACGGCCATTTTTATGTTTTGTTTTGTTTTATTTTTTTAAATAAAAGGCTGTTTTTAAAGCCGGTGTTTGAGGCACCGGGACACAAAGCAAGTCATGAAAATTGTAATACGTGATATTGGATGTGCATCTTAAAGTAGGGCTGGAAGAACTCTTTGTGGTTTTTTCCATTCCAGTTCTGTGAAAGCCCTTTCTGTGGCAAGGACAGAGATCGCCTTCCAAAACTGTAGTCACTCTATGACCAGACAACACTCCTACACCAGAGTGGTCTGAAAAGTGGTTCAAACTGTAACCTTCACCTGTCACCCGGCTTCACACTTTTCCTCTTCAAACTGAGAGCAATGGAGCACCTCTTCTAGAATGCTCCCAGAAAATCCCAACAATGGTCCTGAAAATCTCTCTCCAAATATCTATTTTGACAGTCCAATGCACTCTGCTTTGCTCAATAAAGGACCCAATTATCAAACTCGGCTACCTCAAGTCAGGCACATATATGCATATTTAGGTGCTTACATGGGCACTTAGTCACCTGAAGTAAGTATTTTTGAGCATTATTCTGAGTACATTTTTCAGAGGCAGGAATTTATCCACACCCAAAATGCACAAGGAAGTCAGGTTATGCATGTGCAAACCTGATTTTTGAAACTGCATCTGGTGAGGGGTTGCATAATTTGTGCATGTAGACAGCTGAATTTGAAAATTTGGGTCTAAGCACATAACAAAGGCATTAACATTTATCATTTGGACCCTTAACTAGCTGATTAGGACTGTGACTGGATTTTACTGAAATAAAATTCTATCTTCCCTGTAAATCTGAATATTCTGCATACCATTTTGAGCTACTGTCTCAGCTTGACTCTGGTGTAACAAGTGTAGCACCTGGGTTTGGAACCACTTCACACTGGGGCTAAGAGCAGTGCTATTTGCCAGCTGGGCAGATGTAAAGTCAGTCTGGATTGTGACTCCAAATGCCTGGGGACATCAGACATGCTAAAACACATGAAGCATAAGAAGGCCCATGACGAGGCCTACAATAGTACATACAATAAATAATCATTTGGACTTGAAATGTGTCAAAAATCACCAAAACGAAATGTTTTGATGTTTCTCAAACAAAATTTTCCCAGCATTTTGAGTTGGTTAAAATTTTTGAAAACTTGTCTTTTTTTGTCCCTGTTTGGGACAAAGCAAAATGTCAAAATTGTAAAGTTTTTTTGTGAGTCATAAATTCCATCTTCTGGCCCGCTCTAGGCTCACCAGGCTACATCAAAGGAAAGGCACAGGTGCTCCCAGATGGAAGTGATGTCAGATGATAGACCACAATGCCAGGGTTTTCAGTCATATTTTCCTTCTCCTACAACTTCCTCTCATTGTTTCTCAACTCCGAAGTCAGCAAACAGGAAAAAAAAAATTATCAAAGTCTAACGCGCAAATAAATGGAACCATTGCATCATCAGTTGTGAAAGTCATTGCTGTGGAATGAAGAGATTATTTTCTGTCCATTTCTTAAAGAGGAATGTGGTCGGACAAATATTAAAAGAGGAAGAAGTATTGACAGCTGATTAAAAATAGTGGACTGGGAGTGCACCCACTGACCAAGTCTGACCTTGGGCAAATCTTGTAACCTCTTGGCAGCCCTGTATAAATAGAAATGAGAATACTTAAATACTTGCCTGAAGAATTGTGAGGCTTAATATAATACACTGCTATTTGTAAAACACTTGGAGATGCTTGGTTGGAAGGGGCTTGGGGGTGGGGATTGCAGGTGTTGACTAAAAGCAGTCTCTGGATCAAGTCCACTAGTGTCATTCTACAAAGGACTCACATTAGGAAGAAAGAACATCCTACATCCTTTGAATAGAGGGGAAACTTAGCTGGCCTGATGATTTTTGACATGCATAATCACTCTTCCCTACACACCTCACTTCCCATTTGTTCTTTGTTCTCTCTCTCAGTGCTAAAGCATTTTTTTCCTTTACCTTTCTGTAGGCCCTGGATTCAGTTTACTTCACTGGGTTTACAGAAACCGACAAGACTTTTGTGATCACACGTCTCGGAAGACGTCCGAATGGGCTCTGTGAAATGTGGCTCTTTCTCCGCGTGGACGGAATTGGAGAGTTTGAAGTAAGTGGAGGGTGAGAGGAAGGTAGGTGGCTGGAGTTCGGGGATAACATTCAAGGGTGATGTTCATTACCCATCTGAAATTTAACACTGAGGTATGACCCCAAGATTATTATTCTGTTATCAATGGTAATGCCTAATGACCAACCCAGAATGGGGCTCCATTGTACCAGACACTGGACAAATGGAGAGTAGACAGTCCTTGCCCCCCAAAAATTGACAATCTAAATAGACAAGACAGAAACAGGGTGAAAGATGGGGTATAACATACAAGCAGTGTGAATAATGTGATGGTCGATTTAGTGGCCAATATGGATCCCTGAGAGACTGCTCAAAGAATGGATACAAAGTAACTCAAGCAGAAACTAAAGTTTTCTGCCTCTTCATAAACATCAACATCTGGAATTCTGTGCAAGACCGCAGTGCTATGACTAAGGTAAATTACAGGTAACGTGTCTGTCCCTTTCTTTCCCCTCACCATGTTTCAGTCTCTTTCCCCATCCTCTTGTTTCTCCATTATCCTTCAGCAGCAAAGGAGGTCTTACTAGCTCAACATGCCTCTACTCCACAGTAGCTCTTTTTCCAGGGCTCTGGCAGCAGCAGCGTGAAGCAAAATACAATCGTGATCCTAGTTCATCCATTACTGGGTCATAAATGATTCACTCAGCTGTAGGGCAATATGCAGGAGGACAAGGAAAATGCATCCTTTCCATGTTCCTGCACTGAATGTAGCTGTTGCCATGACCCTGAAGTAGTGTGTGATTTTGGATTAGTGAGAGCTGTTTAAACTAATGTCTTTGGTGGATATGACCTTTTTACTATTCACAAATTGTCCAAACACTGATTGTGAATTAAAATTGCGCTTGTAAGATTCTTAGGAACATATTTGTGCTATGAGCTGCATGATCCTATGTAATCTGAGCGGTTGCTCACCTAAGTGACATGGTAAGGTTACCGTTCTGTCATTGGACAACCTACATTTTATAAACAAGTGCCTCAAGAAATCCGTAAGGTGTTGACTATTTAGGACAAGGACAAGGAGCGTTATAGGGAGATATATGAAGGGCTACTTATTTCTTGCTAAAAAACATTAAATCTATTCTGAGGTGTGTTTTGGGGCTGGTTTTTGGTTTTGTAAATGGATGGATTCTTTCCTGACTGGAATAGAGAGAAATATAACAGTTTTTTGGCTGTCTAGTAGACTACATATTTTAATTTCTCTTGAGTACTTCTGGCACAAATGCAGTCATTTGCAGGTAAAGAATTATATGCACATGAATAAAAGTTCTTCTCTAAACATTAATGGGACTAAAAAGCAACAGTCTAAATGTTTGCAGAAAACAAGTTAGGAGCTAAATACACTTCTTATTTTCATTATAGTAACACCTAGAACCACCAAAAGCTAGAAGAGCTTACAGTCTAAATCAGGGGTCGGCAACGTTTGGCACGCGGCTCGCCAGGGTAAGCACCCTAGCGGGCCGGGCCAGTTTATTTACCTGCTGACGCGGCAGGTTCGGCCGATCGCGGCCCCCCACTCGCTGCGGTTCGCCGTCCCGGGCCAATGGGGGCGGCGAGAAGTGGCACGGGCAAGGGATGTGCTGGCTGCGGCTT